TTTTCTGTGCTGTTATCTGCTTGGCTGTGTTATACACATGACGCTTTTGCAGCATGGTATATTATCTAAGTACATATTAACTCCGCCATCAATGCAAAGCTTATCAGGGTAAGCGACTAGTGGATTTGCGCTCGCATACATATAATATCCTCTATTTCTGCCAATTCGATGCTTCCCAGCAAATTTATAGTCAAATTCCTGTTGATTTACTGCTGCTGCGCTGTCTTTGTGATTCCACAATTTGCTTTCGAAATTTCATAGCAAAACGGCAGCCAAAGCATTTGTGTTTTTCTGAATTGCTTTTGCTTTGCTTTCGATATCATATATGCCGAAGTCAAAGCACCGCAAATGCAAATTAAATAAAAATATTACAGCATTTTCAAACCCTGCTTGCGACGCAATTTCAGCTTATGCCTGTCGGTCTTGACAAGAATGTAATCCCTCAAGTTTTAGCTTAACATGGTTCTAGGGATACACCCTGTGATCATGTTACTTTCCAGAAGGTTTCGCGCCCGTTTTTCTGTACATATTTCCATTGGAAAAAATTATAGTTTAAAAAACTAAAACCTCCCTATTATAATTGCCATTCGTACTGTCAGGTATGTAACTTGAGAATAGAAATCGCTGCATCTTTTAGGCGCATCAATATTACATAGTTACATACCGAGTTAATAAGAGGAAGGTAAAAATGCCTCATCTCCGTATGCTAGGTAAATGCTTCCAGAGGTATCTATGCGTCACCAGAATTTTAGTTTATATGGCTTATACCGCTAGCTCTCGTAGCTGGCTACGAGATCGTTTTCATATACCCCCATTTTTCATAGGTTTGGGATTGATTTCATTTACCTCTTTTCCAAGTTCTACGGTGGCACGCTGCATTTTCCAACAAACCCATATTTTTTCACGAGCTTGAGATTGACTTCATATACATACATATATCCATACCAAGTTCCAGAACTCTACCGTAAATACTTCCAGAGATATGCACTATGAAAAATTCGATTTGTATGGGAGGTTCCACACCCCCTTTAGATAACGGTTTTGTTTTAGCCTATAATCATTCTTGGAAGATTTGTGTCCGAAATTTCAAAAAAATCGACATAGCCGGTATGGGCATTGTGACTCCTCAAAGGAAATGAACTAATGATTGCAAAAAATGAAATCAAACGTCGTAGTTGACCAAAAAAGAACATTAGACTTCATTCTCTCAACTTCTCAGAATGTAGAAGAGCTAAGAAATATATAATAAGATAGGATAAATTAAAACAGCCTCCAGAACATTTACCAAAAGACGCCCCTGAACTACAGAAATCAGTTTGATTGAAAATTTGTTTTATCTATTTATTTTATACTTCACTTTTGGGTGTGTCAAAACTTCATCTGAACAATGTGTGTTGCTGGAAAAATTTCGCGGCCCATGGGTCCCAAAGTAAATTCCATTTGCTGTTAAATAGACAAAGACAATATGTATTAAATAACAGATCGAAATGTATAATTTCAGGGTCTGAATTATATCAGAATCATCGTATCCGATATAGAAAACTACATTGTGAAATAATCAGATGATCATGAGGACATTAAAAAAATTTTAAAATATGTTCACTAAAATTGTATTAATATTAAAATAATGATTTGGCAAGTTTTTATCGAATTTAATGTAAAATTTAAACGTTTTTAAGATAAGATATTAATTATTATTAAAAGGTAAATATTAACGCAACTATTTTATTTATAATCCCAAATTAAGAATATAAAATCTCCCACACCAAAAAACTTACAATTGGGTAACGCCGCTTCGAATTTTTCACAATTGAGCAATTGTCAAAAATCTGCTTTTTAATCAAAAAGTTGTTTATTGAAACTACCTTCTTTTTTGTATCATGATATAAAACAACAAGCGGACTCATGCGCAGACTGCGCAGACAGAAATACACAGTAAACCCATCCCTCTTTGTAGCCACAGATAGAAGCAGACTGTTCTAATAGTTCGCGGAAATAATAAACTGAATTACTCTTATAAACCCCTTATTTTTATTATACATATATTATAAAGCGTTAATGAGATTTACAGTACATCAGAACTTATACTTATTAGGTACATAAAAACATATTACAAACTGACTGATATACATATGAGTGTCATGAGTTGAGGGAAACATGGTGTTACTTACAACATATTTATCTTTGTATACAATATTTGAGGTGAAAATATATAAAGAATTAACTTTTTGATTAAATGATTCTTTAACAGAAACAATAATATCTGAGAATCGCCTTACTCCAGAAAAGGCTACATATAACTGTCCATGGGAAAACACAGGGTTAGGTAGCTATAATCCAGCTTTGTCAAGAGTCTGGCCCTGGGCTTTATTAATTGTTATAGCAAAAGCTACTTTTATAGGGAACTGTTTTATTGTCATTTTAAGGGAGTCAACTTAATACGGGGTATGATTGCTGTATGTAATAGTAGTAGAAAAGTACGCAGATTCGGCAATTTGTAGTGAATT